CAGTACGGGCCTGAACTGAGCATTTAGTTGCATGACGTTTCGGATGCTGTCGAAAACCGATAATCAGGAGAGGGTTATACACATGAATGCATCCGTCACGCTAGGATGCTGGTTTTTCATCGATTTTTTTTTCTGTGATCTCCGCAGAAATATATGTCATGCAAAAAGTGGCTATACGTAAGTATGATGTAATTTTCTCAGGGATGTTTAATGATCTTATTAACTGAAATATATTTTACACAAAATCTGTTCAAAATATTCCTATTTGTGCGAAAATATGCCTACTTCAAATTTTATCCTTCAGCAAGTATGTGCGTTTCGGTTTTAAAAAAAAATTCAAACTTGAGGAATAATGGTAAACTCTATCAGCCGTTGCACTCGATTTCGCGGTTTCCAAACTGAAATTTTTTATAGACGTAAGGGAAGTACAATATTTGGAGAAGGCGTAATTCCGCGAAAATGGGCACAAAAAAAGATTATATTTGTGGAGGTTTTCAATAGAACCTATTTGAGTGAATAAGGATAGTAAAACTCAATGGGAAGATGTTTATTACTAAATTATTCGTTTTTTACATAATAGGGGATAAACTAAAGCCAACTTTCCTATTTTACTATCGAATGTTCAACAGTTGTAACAGATTTTACAAGTGGGAATTGCCTTTTTATTATATTCCATTAAACACAAGATAATAAGCATTCAGACTGTACAGTAAACCGTTTAAAATTGAGTTTTTTTTTTTCTTGAAAAACGCTCACCTCGTGCAGACCGTCGAACACGAAAATCGGATCAACCTCACATTTTCTCAAGTTTAGCAGGTACTTCTCAACCAGAACTTCGTACTCTAGATACTCGCCGTTGAACTGGTTATAAAGGCTTGCTTCGTTGTACAGGGTACTGGAAATGTTAGCACCATCAATTACAACTTTCGTGCTGTGGAGTCTGTAAGTTGTGAAATTGGAGGGACTATTACGCAGAAGCGTCCAAAGCAGGGGGACACCCATCACGACTAAACTGAGAACCACGAGAGAGAGAGACAGACAGAGACGGTCGGAAGCGTTGGCGATGCAGATTGCTACCAACAGAGAGTATATGAAGTCGCCAGCAGCCAATGAGATTGCCAAGTCACACTAGGCTACCAGTGGTATTCATCGATTAGCGTCACTTGGGCTGACTCACGCTACTTTCGCCTACCTAGACTTGCGACAGTCGCTGCCCAACGAACCTGATCGGTCGTCTCTACCGCCGCCTACGCTAACATCATGTCCGCCCGTGCTATCAATCGGCTCTTTGGTAGAACCGTTCGCAGCCAATCAGAGTGCAGACTATCCTGTGCTAACGCTGATACTGCGCTTTATGGCATACAAGTCCATGGATGTACAAATCTGAATTTCTAAAGTCGACAAAAGTTATGAGTTTGGTGAGAAAATAATTTCCCTTCTAGCTAATTGGTTTATCTGAAGAGAACAATAAATGATGAAGTGCGGACTTTCCGGTGCGGTTAAACTAGCAGGTTTTTATGACTTTATTCTCCAACAAACTCACGAATGGATGGGCAAACGTAGTGTTAGTCCAAAAACAGTAATATAGGAGCATCGGTGCATCGGTGCTACAAGGTGCTATTTATTTCCGTTCGAATCTGTACAAATGATGCATTATAAAATTATTTGTAAACACAATATAGATATTTGCGATTCGAAACAAGTCAGTTAACGCGTATAATTAGTTAGGGCACATTTTGTATATGCTTTTGTCCGACTGGCCACGTACTACCAACAGGTATTCTAAAATGAACCGACTAGCCTGGCACCCTTCAGTTAGACTAAACACTTATGCTATCTGACGAACGTGTTTTATCCACCTCAAACCCTTGTTCTTGCTCGCGAGAAATAATAATGCGAATAAAACAAGACAGCTGTACTCGGATAAAATTATCGTTATGCCAACCGTCATAATTCAGGGACCAGACGTTTTTCAAGATTTCACAGGCAAAATAACCGTTCAGAAATATTGAGGTAGGCGTCCTTTTTTCTGAGGACGTTTCTTTCTAAACGGTGCATAA